GCGCCAACTTCGGGTCCGAGGTGCCTCCCAGGACGCGCAAGAACACGCGAATAGAATGATAGAAGCGAAAACGAAAGAAGGCTACAACTGGCTTAATAGCAGTAGCAGCTAGAAGCATTCAATGGCAGTCAGTAGTACCAGAAGCAATAAGTCAATAAGTAACAGCATCAGTGGCAGCAGCAGAAGCCGTGGCAGTAGCATCAGCCGCATCGATAGCTTTCTTAGCCGCACTGGCAGCAGAAGAAGAAGAAGAAGCAGCAGCAGCAGCAACACTAGAGCCCGTACGCCAAGGGGTGGCGGAGCTGGTGGTATTGGTGGTGACAAGACATATAATGAAGCAACTGTGGAAGCACCACTGGTAGCAGCATTAGCAGCACAAGTGCAGTAAGTAGCAGTAGCAACAGCAGGAGCAGGACCAGCAGCAACAGCAGCAGCAGCAGCAGTGCCAGTGGCAGTAGGAGTAGGTGAGCAGGAGTAGAAGTAGGAGTCGGTGTAGCAGTGGGGGAAGTAGGAGTAGGAGTAGACGAAAGAGCAGGCGTAGGAGTAATGCTGTGGCAGTGCCAGTGGTAGTGATAGTATAGTACTGATGGTGCCAGTGGTAGTGATAATCTAGTACTGATGGTACTAGTCGTAGACGTCATAGCCGACTGAGAAACACCAACTGCTTCTAGTCCTCCCTCGACTGTCGGTGGTCCTACCTTCAAGCGCCGATGCTAACACTGCAACTAGCTCGAAACTAGCTCGACTTCTACGACGACTGCGGCGATGACCTGTAGAACTAACATAGGAGTATTAGACAATACTACCACCAGTGCCACTGCAGCTGTTGCCGTTATTATGGCGACATCCGCCGGCCACCACGACCCCTGCCACTCTACCAGTTTCAGTGGCGCCTCCCAGGATCTGAAAGAACATGACGCCCAAGAACTCCACGGCCAGAGAGACGGCGAACTGCCTGGAGAACACGGACTTGTAGTTAGCGAAGACGCTCTCCTTGTCCACGGTGTCGCCGCCAGAAGGCATGGTGCAGGGCGGAACCCAGGAACGGGGAGGGAATCTTCTTGTCCGAAATACAGCGTGTCGCCTCTTGCCCTCGAACCGAGTGGCGGCGTTGGTCCCTTCTGGTCCGATCTATAGTTATAGTCTGGTATACGCTAGACCCGTTATGAAGGCCCGCATACTATCCATCTGACGCGACCATGGTGGTATAGTTTAGTGTGATGTGACGTGATGTGCCGATATGCAAGCAGTGCATTTGCTGATGCTGAGGACCCGGCCGGCAGATCGAGTGGAGATGCGTCCCCGCGGTGGTGTGGCAAGAGCTCTCCTGCTTAGGGTTTAGGGTTTAGGGTTTAGGGTTCATATATGGCCTTAAGACTAAGATTTTACGTCATACGATTTGTAAGGTAAAGGAGCCTGGAGAGTTGCGATGGGGGTCGGGGTATCTAGCATGAACTACAGTAACCTGTTGTGGGCATTTCGGGATGTTGGGATGTACAGCCAAATCCTAACAGCTTGAAAACCCTAAAACCTAAACCCTAAACCCCTAACTAAACCCCAAAACCGCTTGCGCTGTATCCTCCGACCTATAAGCCCAAGCCAAACCGCAGAGGGCCTCATCCGCTAGTCTGAAGCCCTGTACCAAACAAACTCCAAAGTAATCGAAAAGCCGGAAGAATCCGGAATTGATGTTGAGGCTCCTCTAAGGCTTAAGATATTGGAGGTTAGGGTTTAGGGTTTGGATAATGGATGTTTTGTTGACACCTCTTTTCCATTCGCCTTGTGCAGTTTTGGGGTTTAGGGCGTAGGGTAAAGGCCTGGAAAGACCCTTGAAATCAAAACCCCACAAACCTCAAACCTCAAACCCTTCCACTTCGCGGCCCCAAGGAACCCCTACTACTTTCTAGTACCCAAACCTAACCCCTAAACCCTAAACCCGTCCTTTGAGAATCCGAGCGAATCCGAGTAAAGGGGCCGTAAGAGTTGCAAATGTGTATCGGAGTAAGCAACAAGAAACATCAACCGTTAGAGTTTAGGGTTTAGGGGTTTAGGGGATACTCATTATGCCTGGGGATCCAAAAACCTCCCGTTTTCGGGGTTCTGCCCTCTAGTTAAGGGGTCATAGGGTTTGGGGTCGCAAGTCCCTACACCCTAACCCTAAACCCCGGCTTCTATACTATGCAAGGCTCTACCCCTGATTCAGAAACCCAAAAGATCGCTGGGCAACCAAACACCCTACAACTTCCAAAGCCCTAATGTAAGGACCTTACTAATTGGAATAGGGTTTAGGGTTTAGGGGTTTAGGGTTTAGGGGGTTCCTTAATATCATTTTAGTATAATATACCCCCAAACCCTCTTGTAATTACTGAGGCCCCTAAACCCTAAACCCTAAACCCTAAACCCTAAACCATATATTAAGCTACACACCGTACACGGCGTACACGGCTCATAGGTTGGAGGCCTCATGGTTTCAAGGTTAGGACCCCTTTCACCCTGAAGCGCTCGGCCCCTGTAGTACTAGTATCTTAGTTAGGCTTTTGGGGGTTAGGGTTTAGGGTTGAATTAGGGTTTAGGGTGTTGGGGGTTTAGGGTTTAGGGTTTAATTAGGGTTTAGGGTTTTGGGGCTTATGGTTTAGGGTTTAAGTAGGGTTGAGGGTTTTGGGGCTTAGGGTTCCGACGGCCCTACAGGAGGACCCTCTTCATACCCTTACTCTGCATTCAACTCTACGAGCCCTGCAGCTCTATGCTACCCCTTTGAGAGCCCTGATATAGAACCCATACAGTAACCCAAAGACCCCCTGCAAACAACTAAACTCCAAAAAAACTAAACCCTGAACGCCCTACATCTTAGAGCGTGGAAACCCTGAAAACCCGTAAACGCCACACCCTAAAACCCTACAGGAAGCCTTGTACAGTATCCCAGGTCCCAGACATGACCCTAAACCCCTAAACCCCCTGAAGCAATAAACACATAGGCCCCTGAAGCCAAATCCCTAAACCCCAAACCCTGAACCCTAATCCCTAAACCCTAATCCCTCAACCCTAAGCCCTGAACCCTAATCCTCACCCTAAAATCTAAACCCTAAACGCTAAACTAAACCCTAAATCCTAAACCCTAACCCCTAATCCCTAAACCCTGAACCCTAAACCCTGAACCCTAAACCCTAAACCCTGAACCCTAATCCCTAAACCCGAATCCCTAAACCCTAATCCCGAAACCCGAATCCCTAAACCCTGAACCCGAATCTCTAAACCCGAAAATCCTACAATCCCCAAACCCTAAACCCTATCCCTGAACCCTATTCCCTATAGGGATTAGGGTTTATAAGCCCCAAACCCGAATCCCTAAACCCTAAACCCTAAACCCGAATCCCTATACCCTAAACCCTGAACCCGAATCCCTAAACCCTAAACCCTAATCCCTATAGGGATTAGGGTTTATAAACCCTAAACCCTAACCCCTAAACCCCAATCCCTAAACCCTAAACCCTATAATCCTGTAATCCATAAACCCTAAACCCGAATCCCTAATCCCTAAACCCGATAATCCTATAATCCTTAAACCCTAAACCCTAAACCCGAATCCCTAAACCCTAAACCCTATAATCCTATAATCCCTAAACCCTAAACACTAAACCCTGAACCCTAAACCTCATAATCCCTATAATCCTATAATCCTTAAACCCTAAACACTAAACCCTGAACCCTAAACCTCATAATCCCTAAACCCAAACACTAAACCCTGAACCCTAAACACTAAACCCTGAACCCTAAACCCTGAACCCTGAACCCTAAACCTCATAATCCCTAAACCCAAACAGCTCTCTGAGAGTCCTCGTCGTGAGGGCCAAGCTCCAGAGGAAGGCTGGACTCTGCCTCGAGGAGCCTTCCGTCACGGCCGCGTTTGAATACCCGAAATAACTGAAATAACAGTAGGTCTTGGGGTTTTAGGGTTTAGGGTTTAGGGTCTTGGGTTTTAGGGTTTAGGGTTTAGGGTTTTGGGATTTAGGGTTTTGGGATTTAGGGTTTTGGGGTTTAGGGTTTAAACCCGAATAACAGTACCCTTACCCTCAAAGGGCTCATATTTCAAGGCTTTTGAAATTTGGGTCCAGAGACCCTATTTATGGCTCCTGGGCTATTTTGATGCCAAGGGGTAGGGTTTAGGGTTTAGGGTTTGGGGGTTTGGGGGTTTAGGGTTTAGGGCTTCTAGGGTTTTGGGGTTTAGGGTTTTGGGGTTTAGGGTTCTGGGGTTTAGGGTTTCAGGTTTTGGGGTTTAAGGTTTAGAGTTCAGGGCTTAGGGTTTAGGGGTTTAGGGTTTAGGGTTTAGGGTAACCCAAAATAACAATACGGCTACTGATAATGAGAATACTACTTGCAAGAATGCTACAAAAAATCATAAAAGTAATAATCGTGATAACCATTGTCTTAATCAGAACAAATTTTGATAACGAGGGCAATAACACTCGCAATATAGAGTCGCAGCCACAGCACAAAATATTCATAGTGCATAGTCACAATCATGGTTGAGTTGGTGGCTTTAGGGTTTTCGAGTTGGGCTGTTTAGGGTTTAGCGTCCGTCAGAGATCAAAACCCCTTGTAAGCCCTCATGTAAGTCCAAAGAAACGCCCTAAACCCGAAACCCACACCCAAACTCAGAAGTGGCCCAGGCTACGTCCAAAGAAGCACGAGGACGACCCTAGACCCATGGGTAGCTCTCTAGATTAGGGTCCCTTTTAGGGTCCTTTTTACAACGGTGCGGTGGGTGCCGAAAACCGGACCGGAATTTGGAGAACTACCCATACATAATGCTTAGGGCACCCTTATAGAAACCCTCTCTACAAACCCTTGTTGCCTCATTAAGCCGTAAAACGGGACCCTACTTTAGAGAACGTACTCCCCTGTAGATCTGCAGAAACCCTTGTAGATCCCTTGTTAAGGAAGCCTTAAAACGGGACCCGAATTTAGAGAACTACATAGGGCTGTGTACCCACCTCTTCTCTGCATCTCGGATCTGATCTTGGAGGGCATCTGCCTTGCTGATAGCTTAGGGCTTAGGGCTTAGGGCTTAGGGCTTAGGGCTTAGGGTTTAGGGTTTGGGGTTTAGGGCTTAGGGTTTAGGGTTTAGGGTTTAGGGTTTAGGGGCTTATAGGGTTTTAGGACTTAGGGTTTAATGGGGTCTGGGGTTTAGGTTTGGGGCTTATAGCGTTTTAGGATTTAGGGGTTTAATGGGGTCCCGGGTTTAGGGCCAAGGGTTTAGGGTTCAGAAGGGCTTAGGGCTGAGGGTTTACGATTGTTTAGGGTATGAGGCTTCTACGCTCCGCAGGGTTTCGGATGTCGGGCTTCGGACCGAGGAAGGGGCCCTGAACCTGAAGCTTGCGGTCATGATTGAAATCGTTAGGGTTCGGGAGTTTAGGGTTTAGGGTTTACGGCTTAGGGCCTAAACCCTCCAAACTCAACCCAGGTTGCGATTGTCAGCAGCCACAGTCGCTGCAGAAGCGAACTAGAATGGAGCTTCGGGGTTGATGAACTGCTACGGTTTAGGGTTTAGGGTTTAGGGTTTAGGGTTTAGGGTTTAGGGTTTAGGGTTTAGGGTGCTGTACCTACCCATAGGCCCCATAGTAGCTCCTTTTTGGGATTACAAAATAGGATCCTAAATACAAAAAGGAACTACTATGGGGCCTATGGGTATACTTCTCAACGGAGATCAGAAGGAGCACGATTCCCAGGACTTACCGGCCTGTACACCCTGACGCTAAACCATCGTAAACCCACAGCCATAAACCCCCAATCCTCACCAAAAAAACCTAAGACTTAACCCTGCACCCTAACAACCCTAACAACCCTAAACCCAAAAACCCTAAAAACCCTAAAGCCCTAAAAGCCCTCAACCCCAAAACCCCAAAAGCCCTCACAACCCTCAACTTCAACCCTAAACCCCAAAAACCAACCAAAAACGACAGCCCTAAAAGCCCTAAACCCAAGCCCACTTCTGAGGCGGCGGCCCTCTTCTGTGCGTTGCAGACCCGAAGCTCCTCGGGTTTGGGATTTGCTTCAACGGGTCATTTAAGGAGCCCTTGACTCTCCCAAATAGTAACCTACATAACTACTATCCGAAACCTAAGTACCTGATGATTGGGTCCTTTGGACCCTTGGGGTAATGATAATAACAATTGATATTAATTGATATTGACAACGCGGCCCTTACCATAATAAGGATCCTTACATCCAGTCTTCCATGACTTTGCAAACGCTGGCAAGTGAGACCATGCGGCCGGCTTTTAAGCTTCCCAGTCTAATAGTAATGGTAGGAATGGTAATGGTAGTGCTGCTGGTAATGAAAATGGTAAGAATACTAAGCTTCTCAGTCTCTGACACACTGCTGCTCCAGGATGTAGCCGGCTGTCGTCGCATCTGAGCTGGTGGCTCTGCGGCGATTGCTGGACGCCTCCGCACGCACAAGTTTAGGATGGTGCAACAAGCATTTTTGATGCACCCATTTCGTGCAATCATGGATTTCGTGAACTAATGGTTGGAAAGACTCAATAAACTTCAAAACAAATGCGTGGAGGAACAGCGATGACGAGATGATGTCGTTTCTTGGTACAGCCCCTAGCCAAGTCTAGCCTGTGATGGCCAGCAGTTGATTCCTAAACAAATGACAGACATTCCGCAACAGGGCCTCCCCTACCCACTCCCCAAACTCTAAACCTGACATTCCAAAACTGTCCATGGCCAGCGTGTGCCTGCAGCCGTCGTTTCTGCTTGCGGAGCTCCGTCTGCGCCTGGTTTGAGCGGAGGGTTTTGCGGCGACATAAAGAGAAGGAAAAACATTTTCGGCTTGACAGGATTACAGAGCCTGCTGCGGCGGTGCTGCGCTCAACTTTCATATGCCCATAACTGCAATGCCCTAAACCCTAAACCCTAAACCCTAAACCCCTAAACCCCTAAACCCTAAACCCTAAACCCTAAACCTCAAGACCTTAACCCCGCAACTCCCTCAACCAAGCGGGCCCGAAGCCGGTGAAGTACGGTTTAGGGTTTAGGGTTTAGGGTTTACCTTAAGAACCCAAAACCTACTTCTTTATATTATAGGGTCCCTCTGAATCCCATATTAGGGTTTTATAATAAGAACCTACAAAGAAGTGGGTTTAGGGTTTAAGGTTTAGGGTATCCCCTGACTGCGAGCAGCCCCTCAGGTGCCAAGGTCTCGGCGGTGTCGAGCTCGTCTTCGGCAGTGAGGTGCTCATGCACCCCTAAACCCTAAACCCTAAACCCTAAACCCTAAACCCTTTTGGCGGTTCCATGGTGGGGGGCCCTTGGCTGTTCGGGGTAGCCTTAAAAGAGCCCCTACAGTACCCTTACAGGAGCCCTAAAAGTGCCTCTGAAGGAGCCCCTAAAAGTGCCCGTAAAGGAAGCCCTAAAAGTACAATTGAAGGAACCCCGGCCCAAAAAGTACCCTTAAAGGAAGCCCCAAAAGTACCTTTGAAGGAACCCCAGAAGGTACCCTACATGCTAACTAAGGTCTTACGGTTGGCTTCCAAAACAAGGCACCAAGGAGTAAGGCCTGGAGCTTGGGTTCTTGGGGGTTTGAGAAGGGCTCTTTCGGCTTTTCGGGTCTCTGTTCAGGGTTTTGGTGTGGAGGGAGGGTTCTTGTGCTTGTTTTCAGGCTTGCCTTGCAGAGGCTTAAGGTCTCAACTCGGCTATTCCTAAACCCTAAACCGTAGGGTTTAGGGTTTAGGGTTTAGGGTTTAGGGGCCTACACCCTGTTTATCCTGACACTGATGCCCCCAAGCCAGACAACCTGCGACTTTGACGACCTCACCAACCCCTGAACCTGAAAGTCCTAACCCCGGAACTTCACACGCTGATATTTAGTCCTATAGAGCCCATGAAGAACGTTTGATATATATATATATATATAAGGCTTTTGGTAACTCTTATGAACCCGAATCTCAGAACCTTAAGACCTAGAAATGAATCAGGGGCGTCTCCCGCTCGAGCTGCAGCAGCTTTTGCCGCCTTAGAAGGCATAAGGTTCATATTTTCAGGGTGACTGACAGGATTATTTTCAGGGCTACTGAACGTCTAAATGAAACCTTGCATGCTACGCACTATAATGGCTTTATCGGGTTTAGTTAAGGTTTTTACGAACTACGGCGCGGGGTTTTAGGGCATGCGGTTGAGGTTAGGACGTCGAGGCTTGGGTGGTAGGGTTTGGTGTGTTAGGGTGTCCGCACTTTAAGGTTTTGGGGTGTAGGGATTTGGCGTGGTGCTTGATTTCGTTGGGAGTATGCACCAGGTTGGCTGCAGATATATTTGTACTGCGGACAGTATATGGCACATACACATATGCACAGCCATGCCATCAAACATCAACAACAGTGCTAATTGTTGAGAACAAACTGGCATCCATACTTCCTTACATACATCATACATACATACACGCATGCACGCATGCATGCATATGTACATACGTACATACATACTTACTTACTTCTTTACATATGTACTTCCATACATACATTCATACATCCATACAGACATGCGGACATCCATACAAAGGTGTAATATGTGTGTGTGTGTGCATATATATATATATGCACATACAATTCTGCACACAAATGTACATCCATCCTTTCAAAGAACTAAATTGCCACATGTGTTGCGATCTGTTTCCACCCCCCAATACAACGTAAGCTTTTGCACAGTTGGTATGTATCATGAACGGTACGAAATCTCAGTATTCCTACCGCGCAACTTTCGCAAACGCCGTATCCTCACGTGCATCATCACTGTCGCACCTTGATCGCAACAGGTGGTTGTACTCGTCTTCGTAGTAAACGTGGTAGTTGTAGTAGTCGTGATAAACCGAAGCAAAAGGGTAGGTAGTAGTCGTAGTAATGGTAGTAGCAGTAGTAGCAGTGGTCGCGGTGGTGGTAGTAGTAGTAGTAGTTGTTGTTGTTGTTGTTGTTGTGGTTGTTGTTGTTGTTTAGTATAGTGGTAGTAGTAGTAGTGGTAGTAGTAGTAGTAGTAGTAGTAGTAGCAGCAGGAGTAGCAGGAGTAGTAGTAGTAGTAGCAGCAGCAGCAGCAGCAGCAGTAGTAGACGTAGTAGTAGTAGTAGTAGTAGTAGTAGTAGTAGCAGCAGTAGCAGTAGCAGTAGCAGTAGCAGTAGCAGCACTAGGAGTAGTAGTAGTAGTAGTAGCAGTAGTAGCAGTAGTAGTAGTAGTAGTAGTAGCAGTAGCAGTAGCAGTAGTAGCAGTAGTAGTAGTAGTAGTAGTAGTAGTAGTAATAGCAGTAGCGGTAAGTAGTGAAAATAATAATAATAATAATAAAATAATAGTAGCAATAATGCGAATGCTGGTACTGGTAGTGGCAGTAGTAGTAGTAGTAGTAGTAGTAGTAGTAGTTGTTGTTGCTGTAGTAGTAGTAGTAGTAGTAGTAGTAGTAGTAGTAGTAGTGGTAGAAATAGTAGTATCAGACTACAGTAACCGAAGTAGTAGCAGCAGTAGTAGTAGAAGTAGCAGTAGCAGTGTAGCGGTAGCAGTAGCAGTAGCAGCGGCAGCAGCAGCAATAGTAGTAGTATAGTAGTAGCAGTAGTAGCAGTAGCGGCAGCGGCAGCTGTGGCAGTCGCGGTAGCGGTAGCGGCAGCATGAGTAATCGCAGCAGTGGGAGTAGCAAAAAAAGTAGGAATAGGAGCAGGAGCAGACCAGGTGCAGGAGTAATTAGGAGTAGTAGTGGGAGTAGGAGCAAGAACGAGAGCAGAAGTAGGAGAATAGCAGCAGTAGAAAGTCGTCGTTCACATAGGTAGCCTTGAACCCTTGAAGCCTAAGAATACAATAAGACCCCTAGCAACCCTTTATAACTATAACCCCTATAGCCTTAGAGTATGCGCTTCAGCCTGCCCCTAAACCCGTGTACTAACAGCTCACACGTAAAAGGAAGTAAGCCCTTCTAGGAGTTTTCTTGGCAGCCCCCGAGTGCACGACATCTCCACAGCCGTGCGAAGCTCGGCCCGCCGCGTCTCACAAATAGGGTTTAGGGTTTAGGGTTTAGGGTTTAGGGTTTAGGGTTTAGGGTTTGGCTTAAGGCTTTAGGGTTTTTGGATTTGGGGTTGGTGGGTTGAAGGTTTTTGCTAAAGGCCCCTGTACGTCCCTGCTGCTGCCGCGCCTCAAGTAGCTGGAGGCTCCTGGCACGCGGGGGGGGGCGGTCGGGTTGAAGGGTTTCAGGATTGGGGTTTAAGGTTTGTGATTCAAGGATTTTGGTTTACGGTTTGGGGTTTAGGGTTAATGGTTTGAGGTTTAGGGGTTAACGCTGAGAGTTTAGGATTGGGGTTTAGGGTTTAGTGTTTAGGGTTGAAGGATTTCCATCCTCAAATAGCACGGGTCATACAAGGGACCTGCAAGCTTTAAGGGTCCTATAGGTCGGAGGGTTTTGGGATTTCGGGCTGGCGGGCTTCCTTTTACGGGCTTCAGGCTTGAGGCTTTTGATGGTGCTGCGGCGTTGCGGCGTCAAGGCCGTTGGGCTTCAAGGCCCTAGTCTTAAATGGTGCTGGGGCTTTATGGCTTTAGGTTATGAGGCTTTGTGGCTAGGACTGTAGGGCGGCGGGGTTGGGAATACAAGAGTCGCGCGAAGCTGTTTGCCTAAACCCTGAACCCTAAACCCTAAACCTTTTCCTAAACCCTAAACTTTAAACCCTAAACGTAAGCCTGCAGTCGCAACCCGACCGAAAGTCTCAATTCTTTCACTTCGAACATCCCCACCCTGCAGATGATGCATTTGGGGGCCCGTGGCGTTACCGTCGTGGGTTTTCGGTCACGTAACAAAACACAAGTGTTCGACTCAGGTGATTCGTCGACCTACATGGGGTCAACCCACCGACTGGCGATACGGACGCGCGGTCCCTATACACGTAACAAAACACGTGTTCGATTCAGGTCGGTGGACGATCCGTGGGGTCACACCAGTGACCGGTGTTACGGACGTGGGGTCCCCGTACACGTAGCAAAACACGAGTGTTCGACTGAGGTCAGTCGACGACCCGTGCGTGGGGTCACACCACACTAACTGGCGTTACAGACGCGGGGTCCGCGTATGCAGGTACCAAAACACGTGTTCGATTCAGGTCCGACGATCCAGGGCGGATCACCACTGACTGGTGTTAAGGTCCTCGGGTCCCCGGCTTGAGCACTCCAGAGAGTCTCACGGTAGTCTTTGGGGTTGGGCACTCCAGGGAGTCTCACCGTAGTCTCTGGGGGTGGGCACTCCGGGCAGTCTCTGAAAGTAGTCGCAGCGAACAAAGAGCGGGCGGGAGTAATGGCTGACTTCAAAAAATCTAACAACCCCACACCGAGGGCGGGGAAAAACAAAAGTCAGGCCCAGACAGGGCCGGGCCGGTTAGGATCCTTTATAGGGTTTAGGGTTTAGGGTCCAGGGTCTAGGGTTTAGGATTTAGCATCGTCTCTATTCCAGGAGTGGATCGCGATCCGTGGCCCAAGGTGTCTTGCAAGGATTCAGTGGCCTTCGGACACTTCACTTCCAACACCTTTGAGTACACCCCCGAAATGCCCTAGATGAACCTATAATCCTTAATCCCCAAACCCCTTATCGCTACATCCCTAAATCCCTAAATCCCTAAACCCTAAATCAATCTACAAGCCCCCCTTCATGGAAGCTCTTAGCCGGGCGGACGGGACCAGGGCGCTCGTCCTCGGAAGGGGCTGCTGCGTTGATCTAGGGAATCTAGGGGCCTTTTTTATTCGATAAGGCCTCCTTTCAGGGTTCTCTGAGGGGGTACAACAAGGATAGGGTAACTAGAAGCATAGGACACCAGCGCGCTCTGATGTAGGGGCCTTAGGATAGGGTTTCGGGGTATACAACAGCATAAAGC